AATGGCGGCCGCTTTAAGGTCGAAAATGCATTGAAATCGCACATTTTCACCATTCCGGACCCGTATCTCAGTTATGCATGGATGGATTTTGTTCAAATTTGGTACATACATTAAACATAATAGGACCTTGATGCACGTCTTTTTTTTTTCGGATCAAGTTCGAAATGGCCGACTGGCGGCCATTTTGTTAAAGAATTCAGTTCTGGATCCGTATCCAAGACATGTCTGGATTGATCAAGTTCAAACTTCACACACACATGGTACATCATGTCACAAATAGATATGTGCCTTTGTTTCATGATCTGCTTAACAATAGCGAAATGATGGCCATTTTAAGGCCGAAAATGCATCAAAATCACGTATTTTCACAATTCCAGAACCAGATCTCAGTCATGCATGGATGGATTTTGTTCAGATTTAGCACAATGTGTTGTACATATGCAGGTGCATTTCGGTCATGATCTGCTTTGAATGTATATGTCACTCAAATATGAACGGAACGGGGACGTGTCATTGACAATGACTTGTTGACTGATAACTTTTAATCAATGAAGGCTACATACAGATGCGTAGAGAAAAGTATTCCTGCAATTGATTTTACTGTAATTTGCCTCCTTTATTTTATAATTATTCTTTTGTGCAGATTCCTGGAGGAGCACCAGATGAAGCAGTGAGAATATTTGTGGAATTTGAAAGATTAGAATCTGCCATCAAAGGTAAGCGCAGGGTGTCATTGGCTTTGTCTTATTTGAGTCACAGTTATTTGGATCATTTTCAGTGCACTGCTTAAGGTAGCGAGAAGGTTTTGTGACGTTTTTAAATAAAACATTCTCTGTCTGTTGTCTCGTTCAGAACAGTAATTTAGGTTATATATATCAAAAGACTAAGTATAGAGGTGCAAGTTCGCACAAACTGGACAGACATTGTTTACATAATTATCACGTGACATCAAAAATGGCGAACCTTGTAAAAATGACTAAGTACGCGATTGCGAGAGCACACTGCGGAATTTCCTGGTGAAATTTAAGTTATGCATTGTCCGTAATCAAGTCCATTGAAATGCGTCTCCGATAATCAAAAGACCTATTGTTCCGATTTCTATGCAGGTTTGTTTTTTTGTCCCCAAATTATTTCATACTTGGCACCTTTAACAGACTATTATTCTGTGACAAAGCATTTTCTTTAAAAACCCAGACATATTTCGC